TGTAGTGTCTTTTGTAACTTGTGTTTGCAGAGTTCCCAGCTTGTCACTGTTTTCAGAATGGGGGGGGCGGAGGAAGAAGGAGTTCAGTCTGGGGGGTTTTCGGCCTGCCCCAGAGAGTGGGGTGGGTGTATTGCAGCCCCCCCTTAGGTAGGATGGGGCTCCAACTCATCCACCCCACCCTTCAACACCAGCTGGGGAGCCCCAGGAATGAGCTTCCTCCATTGCCCTTCCCCGCTCCCATTCTGAAAACAGCACTAGCAAAGAGCCCTGGCCTTTGCTATGGGAACCTGGCTGCAGGCTTTCAGCCAGCAGCTAGATTTCCTCCCCCCGCTAAACCTACAGTGAACTTCTGTTTGGTCTGGGGTAATGTTGTAACTGAGAATGCTTTGCAAAAATGGCTCTGAGGTACAGCTGGGAGCTGCACTTCTGTTTGCACCCCACATGTAAGGTTTGCACCTGGATGAACTAAGTTAGATCTGGTGGCCATTTTTAATGCAATCTGACATCCCTTAACCTCCCCAAACATCTTTATGTACCCACTAAGTGGTGGAGAGAAAGTAAATAGGAATTTATTATTTACTGTCTCTCAAAAAAGAAGAACTAAGGGTCACAAAATGAAACTAGTAGGTAGTAAGTTTAAAAGGAAAAAAAAAACATTCTTTTTTACACAGCACATAATTAAAATGTGGAACCGACAGTTTAACCAGATTCAAAATGGGACTGAAAAAACTCTTAGAGAAGAGGCACATCAGTAGCTATTGAACATGGGAGTTAGGGATACATCCTCTAAACCAAAACTTCCTGGACCTTAAATGCTGGAGGCTGCAAGTGGGAGAGGAACAAGGGACAAACTGGTCATACCCTCTTCACTCCCTTTCCACATCTACTCTCTGCCACTATATGACACAGGATCCTGGGGAAGATGAAGCTATGGTCTGACCCAGTTAATGGCAGTTCTAATGTTCTAACAATTTACATTTAAGACTGGAAATTTTCAGGCATCCAAATATTTTCCAATAAATGTGGGGAAACTTTGCCCACTCTCTCTCTCTCTCTCTCTCTCTCTCTCTCTCTGTTACATTCCATGTTTTTTCCTTAAAATATAGCTGCAAACGAGTATGCTCTCTTATACATGTTTCCTTTAAAAGTGAACATGACTCCCTTTAGGGGAATTCAGGTAATTTGTTGCCACAGTAATCTTTTCTGTCCTGAAATGTTAAATACTTGGCTTTCCTCCATGTCTTTGCCTCTGTCTAGTCTGCAACTGTCATTTCCTCCCCTCTTACTTTTATAGAGAACGCTCAGATGATTTTTCTTCTCTTCTAGTTCATGATTAGGTTACAGTCAGGGTTGTCCCTCTGAGTCATCTCTCTATTTTCTCCTTCACATCCTGTTCAATTTGTGAGTGGCTTGTGTGTCTTCCTTTCATTGTTTTATCTTTCTAGCCCCCTGTTGCTCTGAGTCTGCATCTCTTTTTTAAATGAAGGAATCACATAACTGGCTTTAAACAGAGACATAACATTCAAGTTTTTTCCTTGTCACAGGACTGCAATGTTTTTTCTTTCTTAAAAGTAATTACAAATATACACAGAAATTATATTCCAGTTGCATTAAAAGAACATAATTAAGATTGTGAGTGGAAACACTGAAAAGTTAGGAAACATCAGAATCATGGTGTGGTTGCCTTTGCCGTAGTAGAGTATGATGTCTTTAATTCCAAGATCATAAAATATCGTTTCCATTGAACTCCTGTCTTACCCAGTGAACATGGTGTACTTCTGTAGGAATGCACTGTGTAGTGAAGGAGATTGCTCTCTGTACCACCACTCTCTTATTTGTAGCACAAGTTGGAAGGTGTGTAGTGAATGAAGCAGAGAACAGCAAGGGGACAAAGGATAGCTTCATGGCCAAGGCAGTTGCCTGCTACCCTTGAAAAGTGGAATCTTCTCCTTGCCTCTACCACACAGGTCTTAGGGCAGTAGTGGTGGATTATGATTTAATGGGGCCCTGGGCAAACAGAAAAAAGGCCTCTCACACTCCATGATAAACATGAATGTATGGACTTCAGTGTGGGAGGGGCCCCATCCCCTCCTGGTGCTGCTGCAGCCAAGGGTGGGGTGAGCCTCTATGCCCTGTCGGGGAGGCTGGGTGGACTAAGCCAAACTGGGAGTGGGGTGGCACATGCCTGCTCTCCTCCTTGCTTTCTGCCCCTCTTCCCCCCTGCTACAGCCAGAGTGGAGCCAAGTGGGGTGAAGGCAGATGTGGGCTGCCCACTGTGGACTCAGGGCTCTCCATCCTGCTGCCTTTGCCCCAGGGGACCTGCTGTGGCCATGCTTCCCATGCCCACCTGGCAGTGGGGGCACAACTCACCATCCCACTGCTGCCGGGTGTAGTGTATTTATCCATCAGTACCAGTCTCCCCACTCAGTTGTCACTCCTGGTCCTCAGTTTCCTTGCTCATCCAGTCACAGTTTCCCTCCACCTAGCTTCTTTGCTCCCCTCCACTGTACCAGGAGTTCCCCTGGGAGATTTAGGTTTGAAGCCCCTCAGGCTGAGGAATGCTTAGAACCCAGATATTATACATCCTAGAGGTTCTTCTCACTAAGCAATTATTTGTATCAGCCATTACCAGGAAGGAAGAGAGTTATCCATGATCAAAGGGGTCAAAATAGGTGCCTAAATCCAGGAAGCAGCTTTTGGTAATGAACCAGAGTCTCATATAAATGCCTACCTCAAGGCTGCAGGGTGCTGCCTAACTCAAGGAGGTAGGCAGGAGACAGGAGTGCAGGCTTACTTGTCTCATCCATTTCTCATTGCCTAGCTTAGATATTCCTTTGCTCAGTCTACTGGCTCTTGTGAATCCTATTCTTAGGCACCTGCTTCTTCCCATTCACTGTACGGGTACTCCTCACTTAACGTCACCCCAGTTAATGTTTCATTATTACATTGCTGATTTGTTAGAGAGCATACTCATTTAAAGTCGTGCAATGTTTGGTTATAATGTTGTTTGGTCACTGTCTGCTAGTAAGTAACTACTGTGATGTAATTGATTCATTTAACACTGTTTCTCTTAAAGTTGCATTTTTCAAGAATGTAGCTACGACATTAAGTGAGTAGTAACTATATATGTAATGTATATACCTAAGTTGGTCTGTAAATTCTACTCCTGGAACTGAACATCCAAGTCCTTTTGTGGAACTTAGTTTTAGTGTCTCTGCTTTTTATGTACTTCAACCTTTCAGGTGTCTAGCAAGAACCAAAGGCAGAAATGCATTCATAGATTCATAGAAGTAGGGTCAGAAGGGACCTTGTAGATCTTTAAGTCTGACCCCCTGCCTGGGCAGGAGAGAAAAATGGGCTCAAATGACCCCAACCAAGTAGATGTCAAGCCTCCTCTTAAAGCCCCCCAGGGTAGGAGCCAGCACCACTTCCCTTGGAAGTTGGTTCCAGATCCTAGCTGCCCTGACTGTGAAGTAGTGCCTTCGGATGTCCAGTCTAAACCTACTCTCTAACAATTTGTGGCCCTTATTCCTTGTTACCTTGGGGGGTGCTAGGGTGAACAGGGTCTCTCCCAAACCCTGCTGGTTCCCCCTAGTGAGTTTATAGATGGCCACCAGATCCCCCCTCAGCCTTCTCTTGCAAAGGCTGAACAGGTTCAGGTCCTGTAGCCTCTCTTCGTAGGGTCTGCCCTGTTGTCCCCAGATCATGCAGGTGGCCCTCCTCTGGACCCTCTCAATGCTGTCCACATCCCTCCTGAAGTGCGGTGCCCAGAACTGGACACAGTACTCCCACTGCGGCCTGACCAGTGTTGCATAGAGGGGGAGGATCACCTCCTTGGCCCTGCTTGATATGCATCTGTGGATGCACGACAAGGTATGGTTAGCCCTACTGGCTGTGACCTCGCATTGTTGGCCCATGCTCATCTTGGAGTCAATAATGACTCCAGGATCTGTTTCTACCACCGTGCTCTCAAGAAGGGAGTTTCCCAGCTTATAAGTGTGCTGTTGGTTCCTACTGCCCAAGTGCAGCACCCTGCACTTGTCAGTATTGAAGCCCATCCTATTTTAGTTAGCCCACCCCTGTAGCCTGTCCAGGTCCTAATCTGTCCTTCCCTACTAGCGTTCCCACCTCACCCCAAATCTTGGTATCATCAACAAATTTAAACAGGCTGCTTTTTACCCCATTGTCCATTATATTCTTGCAGATGTTATTAGCAGAATGGAAGTGAAGCTACCAAAAATCTATGAGAATGTTTAGGTGAATTCCTGACCCACATAACTCAATGGGAGTTTTGTAACTGACTTCAGTGGGAGCAGAATTTCACTTCATGTACTTAACAGATTTCCAATGTACACCTCAGTTAAACTATACCAACATAGAACTCAGTGCAGTTTGCAGAAAGATCTAGAGAATCAGATGTCCAACTCAAGTGGTTATCTCACACTGAGCTCCTTGATACCATGGATGCACCACAATCTTTACCCAAAGTAGGGAGTTTAAAGCTAGAGCTTCATTATGTATGTATGATCTGCACAGTGTAGATGTGACCTAGTCCTGATAAGCTGTGCCATGGCTTTTAAAGTATTATGATATTACATGTATCCAGATTTGCAAAAGTTTTACCATTTCAATATGTTTATAGACAAAGGCTACATTTGTAAAGAACAGCCTGATTTTTTTGTTTCCAAATAAGTCAAATCAGAAGTCATTCAAACATTTAACTGCTGAACTGAAGGCAAGTATCTGAATATAATCAACTGAGCCTGCAGTCATTTGTAATCACAAATTTTAAGCATAGAAAGGGAGACATATTAAAGCTTAACTGAAAAAATGATATCACTGTGGATGCTAAGACCATCCAGTGTAATGTCATACCTTAGAAATACTAGAAATAATGATCTTTTGAACTTACCCAACTCTTACCTTTAGCTCAGAAATTTAGCATTCTTATAAGGTCTACTCTCAACATGACCATATGAACATTTTTTGCTTTGCTCTAGGTCTCCAGCCACATACTAACTACAGTTTCACAATGACAGCATGCACATCTGCAGGATGTAGTTCCAGCCAGTCATTTTCTGCTCGAACATTGCAAGCGGCTCCTGAGGGTAAGCAAAGGTCATTTTCATGATACTGTCATTGAGGGTCAAATTTTCTGCTATCATAAATATGCCAAACTCCAGTGAGTTCCTTGAAATTATTCTGCATCCATTCACACAAGAAAAAATTGCCTTTCACTACAATACTTTTATCATAATTATGCTAAGCCAGTATGAGTAGTATTTTGTTTCTCTTTGGATTACTAAGTAGCATAGTCATGCCAGGGAGGAGCTAGAACAATGCCCAACCTGTGGTGGGGTGGTCAGAGGACTGTGCATGGATGAAAGATACAGGTTTAAACTCACTTTGAACATTGAGGATGGATCAAACCTGAGTCTCCCGCTTCCTATATAAGCGCTCTAACCACTAAGCTATCAGGGCTAAAGAGTATAAAGCACCCCCTCCATTTTCTTTTCAGGAGTTGTGCTCAGGCATGTATGTAGGTATTTGTCTCTATGTACAGGGTTCTGTTTCTGGGAAACAGTATTGCTACCCGAATACAAGTGCCAAAAATTGTACTTAGACAACCACAGAGAACTAGAATGCCATCCTTTGTTTCTAGGTCTTTATTTTTGTGACAGTTTCCAAACTTTGTTCTGAAGTAATAGATTTCTAAAGCTAGTTGAAATGGTCTGATCTTATACAACAAATAAATAAATGTAGGCTGATACATCGGGCAGTATTAGTGCTGTGATCATCAGCCCCTGGGCCTGACCCCCCATTACCCTGCATCTTGTGGAATTATTTCCACTGGTGCAAAGTGAATGTGAATACATACATAGAAAAATCTATTATTTTGTCTGGTAGTGTTTTAACCTTACTTCAAACTATCACAAAGGACTGCACAAGATACAGAGATACAAACAGTCTGGCCTTCATGTTTAATTATGCGAAATGGCTAAAATACTAGTGTGCTGATATTAACAGGAGTATGGTCAAAGCCTCGTCATATCATAGTCAGCTCAACAGAAGTAGAATTCTATTGGAGCGAACCAGAAAAGCCCAATGGGCTCATTTCTCGTTATCGATTGCTTCGTAATGGAGAAGAGATTTTCCAGGGTGGCAGCAGAGATCTGAATTTCACTGATGCTGGTCTGCAGCCCAATAATAGGTAAGGTCTAATACAAAATTTTGGTAAGAGTTAAAGGGAGCTTAAGAATTACATTTAGTAATAGTTTATTTACAGCACTCACTAAAATGATACAGTAGAATTAACAGTAATATGTATTATGTAGTAATAAAATGACATGATATGTGGTTATTGGTAAAAGTATACAATAAAATTACACATTATACTGATTTAAACAATTACATTTTCCATGTGAAAATCAAAATTTTTAAATCTCATTTTCAAGTGGCATACATACATCTGGTGAAAAGCAGTAGTGTAACTGAGATGGAATGAGTGGGGCAGAAGCCCTGGGTAATGCCTTTGAGAGGTGCACAGATATAGCCCCACCTTAGAGGTGGATGACTGCACTACCAAACTGATATTGCGGCATCCTGGCACTGCCCCATTTGTCACAGCTGCCCTAGGTGTGGAGATGTTCTGCTATGCCTCTGGTGCAAGCACTTTTAAAAATCTTAGTAATTGACTAGCTGCCTATATGAGGGTTTTAACAACACTTAAAAGAGTTTATGGCTCTTGAAAAGGAAACTTGAGCACTTTTAAAAATGGCAGATGAGATAAAAGTGCTGATAAGCAAATACTAGGATTTTCAAGTACATATGCATGGAGGGTGCAGACAGAAGTGACAATTTTTTGCCTAATCTGGTCACAGAAAGCAGTTTATAGCTGTGACTAAACACAAGTGCATGACTGCAGACAGCTTCAAAAATGGCTGACTGGATGAAAATCTGACCCCTCACTGCATGAGGTATCAGATAAGGACCTTTCAAAATCTTTTGTAACTTGAGTCTGCAGAGCTCCCAGCCTATTGCTGTTATCAGAATGGGAGCAGGGAAAGGGAGCAGAGGGAGTTCAGTCTGGGGGGTTTTCTGTTCCCCCTGGAGGGTGGTGTGAGTATATTGGAGCGCCCCTGAAGGGACTAGCTGAGGGCAAGAGGGCAAGAACAAGCTTCAGCACCAGCTGGGGGGGCTCCAAGGATGAGCTCCCTCTACTGCCTTTCCCCCCTCCTGTTCTGAACCCTGGCTGCAGGCTCCCAGCCCGCAGCCAAATTCCCCTCCACCCTGGAACCAATAGTGAACTTCTGTTTGATCCAGGGTGACGCTGTAACTCAGAAGGCTTTGCAAAAACCATTCTGAGTTACAGCTGGGGGCTGGACTTCTGTCTGCATAGTTCTCATGGGATCCAGGTGCACTTTTAAAACCCCAGTATGCTTCTATTTGCACCTTTAGCTGCCTTGGCAATTTAAAAATCTGGCCCAGAATGCCCTAATCTCCTCTGAAAATGTCATACAGATTGTAAAGACACTTTTAAAAAGCTTACCATAGACTATAGAATGATCTTAATTCTTGTTTAAAAAGAGAAAAATCTGGTTCTCTTCCTTAATCAATGCAGAATGACTGAGTTGACTCAGAAAAGTTCTATGGCAGACAGACAGTTCTTGGGTGGGTGGATAATGCATGTATGCAAACTGCATATACTGGTTTAAAGGTGAAATCTGCTAATGTTTTCAGTACTTCACTTGTCCAATGCTGATATTGCTAAGTGTTTCCTATTAAAAATGCTATGAATTATAATATACAAGTATTAGTTTGATTAACTGAATGAGGGTGAATTTTCTCATATGAAAACTCATAAAATGAAAATGTGAACTCCAGTGCAATATATAGTGTGACAATCTGTGCATCTTAAACTGGTAAAAATGGGAATAATTCCAATACAAACACACCTAAAGCATTTAACCATAGTCCTATTGCTGCTGTTTTTGTGTTTGTACAGATATGTTTACCAGCTGGAAGCCAGCACTGGGGGTGGCAGCCACAGCAGTGACAAATATATTATACAAACACCAGTAGAAACACCAGAGAATATCCATGCTCCATATAATGTCACAGTAATGGATGCACATTCTATATTTTTAGCTTGGAACACTCCAGGTAAAAACATTTTTAGTTATAGTACCTTGTAGCAAATCAAGAGATAGCTATGGGAAGTTAACTCATTTAGCAAGTTGCATATTCTATTCTGGTCTCTTATTCCTTGTGTTTGCTGTTGAAAAGGGCCCTTATGATTTATGTAGCTGGTGTTTCAGGCAGCTGTTTCTTAAAGACACCTGATATTATTATAATATTGATTTGCATGGCTGATACAGATGGCACAAGGGTTAATTAACTAAGTTTTTACATGACTTTGAATGTGTAAACCACTATTAAGTATTATCTGTTATTGAGGAAAAGACACAAATGTCTGCCTGCTAGAGAAAAGTTTCCATCTTCCTTTTAGGTCATGCTGGGTTGTGGATTAGTTTGTTATGTTTGTAACTGCTTTTTTGAGCCTTAAAATGCCAATGACCTGCTGAGGTGAATGATATTAAGCTCTTGTAACAGACCCACTCCTTTCCTGCAGAGCAGGTGAAATTTTAAAACTGCATATGAAATTGCTTATCTTCTCCCCAGTCTTACCTCATTGTTTCTAAACTTTAAATGTTAGCAGCTAGTCAGGATTTCTGGTTGTTCTGGTTGGTATGGAAAAGGTCAGATTGGATTACAGAAATCCATGGGAAGTGACAGAAGTGACCTTTCTCATGTGATCATCCCCTTGAAAGCGCTCTGCAGCTGTGCCCTGGCAGAAGTGCATGGCTGCAGAATGCCTTAGAAGTGACCAATTGTGTAACAAATTAACCCTCATTTAAAGAGGTTTCAGATGCTGTCTCCAGAGCAAAGCACTTCCATTAACTTCGGTTTGAGTAGATCTGGGCTGATGTAGCCCATCCCACCTCACAGTGCTGTCTGCAGGATGGTAGGGGGGTGGGAGCTCCAGGCTGGAGTCTGCCCAGCCTGTGCTGGAGTGGGGGGGCAGATAGAATCCATTTCACCCACCCCTCTCCAGTGCAGGCTGGACAAATCCCAGCCCAGAGCTTCCTCCCTCCATCTCCCTCCTCCCATCCTGCCAACAGCAGTGGAGCTGGGACAAGGGGGAGCACAGGGCTGGGTGAGAGAGGCTGCAGACATGCAGATCCTCCTGGATTGGCTCCAAAGTGGAGCTTGATCCCTCTTCCCCCTCCTCTCCTCTCCTCCCCCCTAGTGAATATCTGTTGGGTTGGTGGGAGTCACTGTACCTCATGGTACTTTCTTTGAACCGCCATGAGTTACAGTGGCAAACTGCTTATCTGTCAGCACCCCATGTGCCTAATAGCAACTATAGCAGCTATACTCAACTGTTACCAGTCAAAGCAAATTGAGTAAGCTTAAACAATGCATTTAGAGATGGGCTCAAACTGCAATATTAAAATCCCTATTTCCACCATAGTTGAGTGACATTCAACATCAGTGTTTTACAGTCACTTGACAATAAGCTCACTTGGAAAAAGCACTTTGCATTCAAGGCTGGGGTAGTGAATATTGTAGTGATGCTTAGCATTACCTCTGCCCATTTAACCAATAGCTAATAGATCCTTAAGAACCTGAGCTGTCAATCTTTTAGTTTTCAGAAGCCAAAAATCTGTTACAAAAAAATGCTATAATATATGAAAAAAATTAAAATCTTGAATTAAACTTTTTTCCCCTTACTGTCTGGAAGAATTTAGAACCCAGCGACAGGTGACTTAGACTTGTATATAATCTAAGCTTGATTTTATTGGAAAGTTTCTCATACTGTAGTATAGTTTGATAATAAGGTTCATTTACAGTCAAGATTATTCAGTAATATTAGAAATCCTTTTAAAGCAAAATAAAAGAAACTATTGAGAAAGGGGAATACAGGCTTGGGAAATATGAAGATTTCAGCATGCTCTGGACCTTACTGACAATAAAGGTAAGGTCCAGAGGTGACAATCCGGCTAAGAAACAATCTGGTGACAATTGTGACAATCTGGCTAAGAAAATAAGACTCCACAGTAAATATTGGTTTAACAAAGACCAGCAGGCAACTGGAGCACTAGCCCCAGGCACTGACCCTTGGGGAGGGGGGTTGCAAAAAGCAGCAGCCATGCTGCCTTGTACACAGCTGTGTCCCAGGGTCCTCAAGCCTCTGCCACTCAATCAAATTAATTGTATTAAGGCTATGCAAAAGGGCCATATGTAATCCTTAAATCTGAAAAACTTCTGGGGGAACGGTTGAAAACTCCTGAATATTTACTTGACATAACCTTAATTTATGTGCAGAACTCTAGGGCTCATTTTTATCAGCCCCATGTACTACTCTCCTCACATCCTCTGGTGCTAGAATGCTTTCCAGAAACATATCATACCTTGTTGCCTTCAGGGGCCTAGTAGGTAGATTTCCCTCACATCCTATTTCCTGCTGGGTCACAGTTTTCATGTTTTGAAGGGAGCATGAGTGGCTTTTCCCATAGCAAAGGGTTTTTTGTCTGGGGAGTGGGGGAAACAGTGAGGTAAGAGCCACTATTTCCTTATCTGAAGAGTCTTCATAGCTTTACCTGATCTCTGCACCCCAGCAGGATAGTTGCTATAGCAGGGAAAATAGTGAATGTTCCTTAAAAATCATGTATGTGGATGATTGGTCTCCCTAAGTATTGTGTACTATAAATAGTATCGTGGGGGAGAAGGACTATTTCAAGTGTACAGCTGAGAGGAGGTGGAGGTTCCCGTTTAAAGCCCTGATTTTATGAGATAGCATATGCCCCTATAACTGAACCCATCACTCACAGGTCCAGACCTGGAGAGTTAGCTCACCATTAGTTGTCACTCTAATTCATGCCATGAAGCATGAGAGATTTCATTTTAATTAGATAGTTTTTTGTTGTTGTTTTTTCTCTTCTTTTTTCCAGTGCATGAATTCTACATTCTGCAATGTACCATATTGTAATAATGTAAATTTCCCCTTTTACATCCAGAGCACAGCCTTTATAATAAAGGTTGGCAGTGACTCTCCCACTGAGACAGTTGTGTTAATTGATATTGTCTCTAAGAATAAAAATGCTTTTTATTAATCAAGGTTTGATGAGCGAATAGTTTGGCCACAATATCTTCTTGTCAGTGGATATCAGGGACATTTTGGCATTCAATCCACTTTTCTACTGTAATAAATTTGGTCCTAAGGTTTAATTATGGGCATCCTATCAGATAGCTTCTCTTTTTTTTTTTTTTTTTGGGGGGGGGGGGGGGGTTAATAATGATGCCTTAACATCACTTAGGTATTTAAATCTCATAACTTTATAGGTACATAGCATTTGAAAACTCCTGACTTAGCTAAATGGCAAGGTGGCCGAGCAGTGGTTAAAGTGATGGATTCAGAAAAAAATATTTGACACACCTCACTCACTATGGAAAATAGGGCTTTATTTTCTGAAATAGGTATCCTATTATCTTGTGTTACATTGCATCAGTGCACAGACCTCAAAGGTACGGTACATTTCACTGATATGGTACAGAAGGATATGTTACAATTATTATGGAACAACTATTAATACCATGGATAGAAACAGAAAACCAGAATGGAAAAAAACCCATAATTTTCCTCAGGCATGTCCATAAATGTTATTGATAGGTAGACAGATACCCATCCTGCATTCAAACTCATTAATAACACCAGCAGCCCTCACTGTGGGCCTCATCCTGCTGGCTGCCTTCAATTGTTATTAACTTCAGTGGCAGCTGAAGGTGCCCAGAAACTATGACATCATGTCCTCTGTTACTAAGTTATCAGCTCCCCATTATAATGATCTTCTCGACTGAAATGTGCTCTCTTCTCATGTCATAAAGTTCTATTTCACTCCATCAGTCCATGCCTCTAGGTTTTGCATAGTATTTACAGACTGCGTGTTCCATAGCATATTGGATTCGTACCTGTATTCTTGTTGTGACCCTTCTGATATCTGTATATATCACTTAGATCTTCTTATAGCCTGTTTGCTCCCCTTTACCTGAGCGTGTTATTATTTTATTTCTGGGTAATAACGACAGTGATTGGTTTTCCCTGGCATTAATTAGCTAGATGGATTAATTTGTTTTCTAGCATAGTGTTTGCTGTATACACAACCATGCACTAAGGTACATTGATATAGAGGAAAATGATCAAACTGGGGTGCATAAAGTTCAGCACCTAGCTCTCTAGTTCAGAAATTAAATGCCTAAATTGATGGCAAAAAATACTGTGTGCATACAACAGCCATTACATTCACCATTTTTTTCAAGGTGCCTAATTTAAGAACCTATGTATAGATTTACATACTCAACTTTAGGTGCACAGGAATACTAAAATTGACTGTAAGATGAGGTACTGGTTCCTAGTAGGCCTGTTCAAAGAGGCTAGTATTCACTTCGGATTTGGCCGATTTGGAGGACAGTGATTTGATTCGGTGATTCAAATCACTGTCCTGATTCGATTCTGCTGAATCTGATTCAGAGATTTGTCAGCAGCCAAATCTCCAAAACTCTGAATCAGCCAGGCCAGGCCCATCCCCTGCCCCACTCCGAGCCCAGCAATGGCTGCACCAGCTCCCAGAACTTGTAAAAATAAAAAAAAAAAAAAAAAAAAAAAAAAAAAGCCCCAGCTCACCGGGTGCTGCCAGATGGGGTGTGATCCCCGCTGCCCCCTACTGCCCCACACAGAATGGAGGGGGTCTGCATGAGCCCCCTGACCTCCCCTCACTCCCCTAGCCCCCCCCCACAGGTGCCCCACATGGGCCAGTTCTGGTCCTTTAAGAAAAAAAAACCCTGAAAAAACCCCAGGACTCACCGCTTCTGCCGACGGGGGTGATTCCCACTACCCCCCACTGCCCCACACCATGTGGGGGGCTTTTCACTAGCTCCTGAAGCCCTGAGGCTGCACCAGGTGCAGTGAGTCCCCAGGCTTTTCTCAGATTTCTTTTTTTCTTAAAGGGCTGGAGCTGGCGCAGGCGGGGCACCCGTGAGGGGTCTGGGGGAGAAGGGGGGGTTGGGAGATTCATGGCAGAGCCCCCCATGCAGCATGGGGC